ATATTGTAATGTACATGTTATTGTGGATATAAAACATCAAAATAAAAACATTTGATCAAAAAAAAAAATTAAACCTCGTATGATCTCATTAAAATATAAAATTGGGACAATATTGTGCACAAGGCAGAGTCATGCATATCACAAAATGTCAACTTTGTTTACTGCAGCCACAATTAATTCCAAAGGACATTTCATTCTTTCTTTTTATTTTTTTTCTTCTTCATATCATCAGCGGATATTACTTCTCCAAGTTTGCCTGAGTCTTAATAGCCAACAGAGCTGCTTGAACATCTGGCTTGGACCCTCAGCAAAGCTATTTAAATGCTTCTTTTTGTTATTGTAAAGATTTACAAGCTTTGTGTGATTTAGACACACATCTACTATTGTAAAAACCTCAATGAAATGGTAATATTATCCCTAACACATAAAGTCAATTAGAAATCTCAAAGTCCTGAAGTCCAAACATAAATACAGCATTAAAAATGACTGAGAGCACTCCAGGGACTGCTATTATAGAAAGAGTCGTTTATTTTGTGAAGTGCTACAATTACAAAGAGAGCTGCAGAACTCGAGGGTGGCTGCCACAGTAAATTCATCTCAAAGCTCAAGTCGCCAATTTGCACTAAAGAATGCTGCTGGCAGAGGATAATTACTGTTAGACTCCTCTGTGAAAGGAATAGTTTTTTCTTTCACAAAGGCTAGGCACAATTTGAGTGAACAAATAAAACTGACAGCAGCTGATTGGTCATTAATTATTGCTCTCATTACTAGATAATTGGATGGTTACAGACACCATAAAGTGGTTTCAGAGAAATCAATTTCTATGCAACATATTAGCCTCTATACCAGACTTTTTAGATCAGACTTTATTTATTCCATTTTAGCTTGAAAAAAATATATAGAAATTTATTCAACAATTAAAAAAAGCCATATGCTTTTTTTATTTCTGTCAAATTTTCAAGTATTTTTTTTTTAATGCATGCAAGTTTACAGTGAATGTACAGTGGTCAGGAGACTGGAGGACAATGAATACAGTAGACATAAGGCTGTTGGTGGGAGACACAAGGTCATGGACAGCAAGAGACTGGAAGGAGACTGGTCAGAAGACTGGAGACTGTGGACTCCAGTCTCCTGCCATCAGTAGTCTTCAGTCTCTTTCCATCCACTGACGGCAAGAGACTGAAGACAATGGATGATAGGAGACTGGAGGCTATTGATGACAGCAGACTGAAGGCCACTGACGACAGGGGACTGGAGGCTAATGATGACAGGAGACTGAGGGCCACTGACAACAGGAGACTGAAGGCCATTGATGACAGGAGACTGAAGGCCACTGACAACAGCAGACTGAAGGCCATTGATGACAGGAGACTGAAGGCCACTGACAACAGCAGACTGAAGCCCACTGACCACAGGGGACTGGAGGCTACTGACAACAGGAGACTGAAGGCCACTGACAACAGGAGACTGAAGGCCATTGATGACAGGAGACTGGAGGTCATTGACGACAGTAGACTTGAGGCCACTAACAACAGGAGTCTGAAGGCCACTGACGACAGGGGACTGGAGGCTACTGACGACAGGAGACTGAAGGCCACTGACGACAGGGGACTGGAAGCCACTGACAACAGGAGACTGAAGGCTACTGACGACAGGAGACTGAAGGCCACTGACAACGGGAGACTGAAGGCTACTGACAACAGGAGACTGAAGGCTACTGACGACAGGAGACTTAAGGCCACTGACAACAGGAGACTGAAGGCCACTGACAACAGGAGACTGAAGGCCACTGACAACAGGAGACTGAAGGCCACTGACGACAGGAGACTGAAGGCCACTGACGACAGGAGACTGAAGACCACTGACGACAGGAGACTGAAGACCACTGACGACAGGAGACCGAAGGCCACTGACGACAGGAGACCGAAGACCACTGGCGACAGGAGACTGAAGACCACTGACAACAGGAGACTGAAGACCACTGACGATAGGAGACTGAAGGCCACTGACGACAGGAGACTGAAGGCCACTGACGACAGGAGACTGAAGGCCACTGACGACAGGAGACTGAAGGCCACTGACAACAGGAAACTGAAGGCCACTGATGACAGGGGACTGGAGGCTACTGACGACAGGAGACTGAAGGCCACTGACAACAGGAGACTGAAGGCCACTGACAACAGGAGACTGAAGGCCACTGACAACAGGAGACTGAAGACCATTGATGACAGGAGACTGGAGGTCATTGACGACAGTAGACTTAAGGCCACCAACAACAGGAGACGGAAGGCCACTAACAACAATAGACTGAAGGCCACTAACAAAAGGAGACTGAAGGCCACTGACGACAGGAGACTAAAGGCCACCAATGACAGGAGACTGAAGGCCACTGACGGCAGGAGACTGGAGGCTATTGATGACAGGAGACTGGAAGCTACTGACAACAGRAGACTGAAGGCCACTGATGACAGGAGACTGGTGACCATTGACAACAGTAGACATAAGGCCAATGATGGTGGGAGACACAAGGCTGTGGACAGCAAAAGAAAAGAGATTGTGGATGGAAGAAGACTGAAAAACACTAACGGCAGGAGACTGGAGACCATGGACATCAGGAGACTAGAGACTGTAGACAATGGGAGACTGGAGGCCATTGATGACAGGAGACACAAGGCCGTGGACAGCAGGAGACACAAGGCCATGGACAGCAGGAGACACAAGGCCGTGGACAGCAGGAGACACAAGGCTGTGGACAGCAGGAGACACAAGGCCGTGGACAGCAGGAGACACAAGGCT